GTGCATATAGTACGGAGTAAATAGATATGGCTAGGCGGTAAGGAAATAGCCACCCCTGTTAACTCCTAATGTACTCAGTACGGAGTAGAGTAGCCCTTTCCAGATATCATCGTCACTATGCAAGAAGATGCGGCATATCATTCAGGGTCTCTGATTTGATGCGGCGAGGTTGGACTGGATCTTGGACTCTTGTTTTACCTTGAATTTCTCGTCGAGATCCGAGTTTCACAACAATCTGACATTGTGACCCTCACGGTTCTGCCACGCGACTCTACGCGTTCCCATCATTTATTCCTCGGCAAATCATTCCAAGAACAACATATTTTTGAATTCCGTAGTAAGCGATTCTCAAATCCGATCTGTGGTGCTGGCGTAACATCTCTCGCGCGCGTTGTTCTCGCTTCACTGTGACGCATTACTTCGCGAACCAACCAACAACCATCATCTTCATCCCGTTCAGTTCCACTTGATCGTTGAAAAAGTTCAGTTATTGATATTGGTGAGTGTTTTCCTTGAATAAAATGCTCTTTGTTTGTGGCTTTATGAGGACTACAGTCAACTCAGAACTATGATCCCAACTCCGAGAAAAGCAGACTAATACTCTCACATTCATCAATCTAATTCTTTACTCATTTGATTAGGGAGCTGAAGCCGATAATGCCTGATCAAACGCCAATGGCGAATGGCGCCGACATTTCGCGGCCACCATCGGCTTCATCATCAAGGACTTCTTCTGTACAGTCAATCCACCCTCTAGGATTTACTTGTACGAGATGTAAGGCAAAACACAGGCGCTGTGACCGCAATAGACCAGGTACGTACCCCTTGACTTGATAGGGCAACACACATTGCAAGTGCATTGATGACTGACTATTTGCATAGTCTGCAACAGCTGTCGGACCTTGGGCCTTGAAGCTGAATGCTTATATCCTTCTGCGGCCTTAGCGGGGTATGTCTGTCCGTGATATCAGCTTGGCCGAGTCAAAATGACTAACCTTATATCATCTAGTGCCGAGAACATAATCACCAAGAAAACTGGTGCTCCATTCTCAGGGCCAATGTTCAATAATGATTCTGCTTTACCTGCTTTACCCACAACAGGTGACAAAAGACCAAGAGCTGCAGACAGTTCTTCTGGACGAATTGAACCTGTCAATGACGTGGTTGGATTACCCATCCAAAATTCTTTCAGCCACACCCGGCAGACGCAGATACTCCAGCAGCCTGCTGCAAAGCGGTACAAGATATCCGAACTTAGCCCTGGAACTAGAAGTGCCACAAGGACACCTGCATTTGGACGAGGTCAAATCGCACCATTTGGCATACTCAGTGGGAGCACACTGGATCCTCCACCGCGTATGCGTAGTATATCTCCTACTCTGCCTCAAGACGAAATGGAGCTCCGGTGCAACTTGACCACCGAAATCAATGTCCGGAGAATGAAGGAACACCGTCTTACAGCAGGGCATCTGCGTAACATCATCAAGCTACTCACAAAAGCCAAGACTGAACGCCCAACCACTGAACCCACGATTGCCGGATCGAGTGCTATGCTGTTTGACGAGTATCGTGAGGAAGATGATCTCATGAGGTTTGCAATAATCAAGCTGAAAAAGGGCGGCAAATGCTCTCGTGCTCTTCTCAGTCGATTTGAGAACTTCGTATATGGCCCATTGATGAGTCCCGAGGAGAAGAAGATGCAAGAGCGTGTCATATGCGTTGAGGAGTGCCTGTCAACTAAATCGGCGTCACTGACAGTCGATCATACCGACCTGTTCCTCCTCCGCCTAAAAAGAATCATACTTCATCCTGATGTCTATGGCTTAGACGAGAAGGACTCACGCATCGCCTTCCTGCGAGACGAGCTCTTTACAGCCATGGCGACTGACTCGAAGCTGAGTGGTCCAACCCGTAGAAAATTCGCGGAACTTTTAGACCCAGATGGAGAGATTGCCGGTATCAGCGTAGACAATCCAGGCGTCAAAAAAGAAAGCCCAGAGTCGAGGAAGGTGCTACCCAAGCCTACTTCTTCACGCGTGCCTTCCTCGCACGCGCCAGAAACACCATCGAGAACAATAACAACAAGCAAAGAAAACTCTGTCACGGCTCTGTCTCCTTCACCAAGCCATCCCTCTCTTTTCCCTCCACTCTCTCTTTCAACAACCCATCCTCCCCCTTTCTCCTCTCCTACTTCATCTTTATCCCCACCACCTCTGGAAACGATTGATTTGACCAATGATACCATGTCGTCGTCGTTTCCCTTCATCGTGAAGCGTACGCCTAAGAGGCGTATTGACTCTGGCAGCCAGTCGTCGCAATCCAACAGCACTGCAGCGTCGCCTTTCATAGAGCCAGCGTCCAAGAAACGTCCTCCTTCTGGCACGCAGTCGTCGAACCTCGACAATGTTATCGCTCCGTCTCATAGGCGTTCTGCTCCTAGCAGCCAGTTGTTCAACTCCGACTTCCCAAAAAGGCTCTGGAGTATCTTCCTTGGGAAGCAGGCTTTTTTCTTGCCAATTTTTGATCTCGACCAACTGAAAATCGCTTTTAACCTGGCCGTAAACCATGGGAACATCGACCCCACAGTCATTGACCCAACTCTCGGGCTTTGCATTGCAATTGCCTGCCACCTGGCTCCTGATCAGAACCCTGGGGAAGCCCGCAAGTGGTTCGATGCAGCTTTATCTAACATGGCTGACCCAATCAAATCTCGACCTTCACTTCAATCTTTCCACCACCAAATTCTCCAGGTTCACTATCTCCATATGGTCGGGCACTTGCGAATGGCTTGGGACATCTTATCTATGGCTATAGGCAGAGCGCAATCTCTTCGGATGCAAACTATGCATGGAGGATGTCTCGCCGTGGACGAAAAGTCGTTGGAGCAGGTTCGGCTGGTATGGCAGTGTCTCTGGACGAAGAAACTATTTCTCACTCTCCAGTTTGGCGTGGTCGATCAATCCCTCGACAGCTTTTACGACCCACCCATGCCGATGCAGTCGCATATTACTGACAACATGGGAGTATCTGGCAAGCAAACCATCGAACAATCCTATACGACGTCTTCTTTTTTCATTGCTTCTGCTTCCCTTATTAAGTGCACTGACGATTTGATCACCGTTGAAAATGATCTACGTGTGACTCGCATGGAATGCCCGATCAAATGGCTTTCTATTGTGGACCTACGTGGCTTCCAGGGACTGAATGAAAAACTCTCGAGCTGGAAGAACGGTCTGCCCAACTGCCTGGAATGGAGAGGCCCCGGCATCGAATGTGCTATGCAGAAAGACCTTCTTATTCGCCGCATGTGCCTCCTGGCTCATGTGCGATTTGTCTATTTCCGACTTCGTCAATACCGGCCGTTCTTCATTTTGAGCCTTCGACTTTCCCAAACGTGCGCCTGTGAAACGAGCCCTCATATCACTGGCAAGGATATCGATTCGGTGGATGCGTCTCCTGTGCTCGGCCTAGTCTATTACAGTGCTGTCAAATGTTTGACTGCTGCCCAAGACATTGTGAAAACTTTCTCTGTATCCTTCACCACCACAGCAGATGAGTATGCTAAATGTGAGCAGCTTGAATATCTCTACGCTGCTGCCCTCATTTTGATTGCTGCCCGGACAGTTCCGCTTGTCTTGAACGGTACCCCGCGGGGTATATCTGCTGTATCTGCTGCTGCCACCACGGCGAAGTCCTTCACAACGATGACCGAGGAGCTAAAGGAAATTGACGTCTTGTTGCGCAACTACCAAGAGAGTTGTAGACAAGCCCCAAAACTCGAACAGAGAATCGCACGTTCGCGTGATGTTCTCGACCAGATCAAACTACAGTCAGAGTCATCTAATGGCATAGTCACTGACAGCGACATCAGGCTTGAGCCAGTTGTCTGGAACCGGATCTATGATAGACTCGGCCTCGATGTTCCATTCCAGCGATTCTCAGAACCTCATCGCCCCGCTGGCTCTGTGATTGTAGGCCGTAGAAAAACACTCGCTTGGCTGGAAAGTCTCCCAGTGGATATGGACCTTGAAAACTAGGGTCATTTCTGTTGTTGATACAGCTGCGCTGAAGCGCTGGCAATTTCACTGTTCTGTAGGGAGGAATTTACCCGTGGATCCTTTTATTTTTAGCTTTGAAAAATGAAATTCCCTTTTCAAATGGTTATTTCGATATGTAGATATGTGGTATCTGATTAGTGGTTGCGCTTGATCGTGGCAGTCTAAGTTGTAATGGTCAAGTCTTTGCTAGAATTGAATAGGAGATCCAAGAGGTACAGGACTGGCTAGAGACATGGTTCGTGGCCTTAGATAGCAAACCAGCGGAAAATAATAATGATCCTACGTGGGGGGATTGAACCCTGGCCGATTATGAATTGATGTGTCCCAATTAGGAAAGGGTGCTATATAGGTCACATTAAAGATGTACTGTTACTTCCAAACCCACCCCGATTAGCTCAGTAGATGGGGGCTCTGAAGTTCTCGCTTGGGATGCTGAGAGTGTATATCTTCAATTGGTTTCGGGCTTCATGACCCCGGGGCACAGTTAAGATCAGGCTGCACCTCCTAAGGCTGAACGAGAGAGGGTGGAATGTGTCGCCACACCTGCAGGGTAATTGACCGGGGCCGAAGTCCGAAGGGGGTGTGCGGTCCCAACGGATGGAAGTTCGTGGGTTTGGAAGCCTTCTTTTCTTTTTCTATATTGATATTACTTGTCAACCACTCACCTAGTGTTTTCTCCTATAGCTTCTCGCTTGCAACCAGCCACACAGTACATACCCTCGTTGCTGTGTTCTACTAGAGCCTCCAATTATCCGTTGCATGCTGTCACATCTGACTTGTAAATCGCCACGGAAGAATGAGAAGAGACCTCGAGGTCCCGAGACGGTCGCCAACTTATTCACCGAGAACGACTCCCTCATTCCCGTATATGTCTCGTTCGACATCGCATTACTCCCCCCGCCAGGCAATTTGGGCCATCACAACATTTCCCCTTCGCCCAGAATGGGTTCTCCATACACCAGCCAGGCTAACAACTTCGTTCCTCACATGGCACAGAATGGTCATTTGAAATCAAGTACAAGCTACTCATCACCGTCTATCGCAAGTCCCCTCCGCTATGGGTCATTCAACTCACCATCGTTGATACCCACAAGGTCCCAACATCCGTAGCTGCCAAAGCATCGCTCATGATCATCCACAATTGTCTCATGCTAGTACGTACTCGCAGTAATCTCTCAATATACCATAAACATCAGCATTTACACTCTCATCAAGCGTCTCTATACCTGAGGAGCGGTGGTGGCATCGACGTTCAGCTAAGAAAGTCGGTCTGCAGGGGAAGGCCATTGGTATGGACGGCGAAGGCGAGACTTTTACTTCTATCAATGACTTAAGATACCCGGCTAAGACAAATGACACAGAGCATGCTGAACTCGCTCGCGGAAATGCAGAGAAAGAGGGTACTTGCAACGTATCCTTCATCGAGGCCTCGATCACGTTTATCCCTCTACCAGACTCCACCACCGACTGCACAATCAGCAACTGCGTGTTAAACCTCGTTCCTACACCTGACAAGCATCTTGTGTTCAGCTAGATGTTCCGCTTGCTGAGACCCGGATGTCGTGTTGCTATCAGTGATATACTGACTCGAAAGGAACTCATCCAAGAGGTGGTCAACAGTCTCTACCACGCATACTTTGAGATATACTGTCAAGACTTCAAGTAGTACTTGATTATACACCCTGAATCCCTCCGGCGGACTGTTTCCTTCTGTAAAATCACGCTACATTCGAAAGTACAAGAAATCCAATTCCACGCCTTTGGTATTTCATTGGACCACCAATTGACAAGCGCAAGAACACGGAGTTGGGTTTTCTATTGATTGGTGAGTTTTCAAGCTACTAGCAAACGAGCCCGTGATCTTAAAATCGGCAGAATCTGAAGGCTGTGCATGATATTTTCATCTGGTAAGCATACTGCCGATACCATATTGGATTCACTGTCGTCAATGCTCCTAGGAGGTGCGCTATCTCTCCAAACAATTATTGATAGTATATATTAATCATTCCAACTAACTCGTCTAGCTATCAATTTGACAGCATATACCAATCCTAACAGCACAGGAACCTCGATCAGAGGCCCAACAGTCGCAGCAAGAGCCTGGTTACTATCCGCACCAAACATCGCCACTGCAACAGCAATGGCCAATTCAAAATTGTTGCTAGCAGCCGTGAAGCTCTGCACAGTCGCCAGCCTGTATCCGAATCCCAATTTATATGCAACAAGGAGGGTCACAAAGAAGATTATCAGGAAATAAACGATAAGCGGTGCTGCAACTCGGACCACGGATACAATTTGGTGGACCACATGGCGGCCTTGCGAGGCGAATAAGACAAGGATGGTGAATAGCAGGCCGATGAGAGACCAGGGACTGATCCATTTGAGGAAGGTTTCATCGTACCATTTGGCAGAAATTCGTCGGAGCACGAACCGCGTGACGATTGCGGCCCCTAGAGGTATTCCGAGAAACACCGCAACACTTTTGGCAGCTGTTGAATATTCGAATGTGACTGGATCGCCGCTGATGACGCTGATGAAGAACACCCCCATTGGAGCGAAAAGAACCATTTGCAGCACTGAGTTGAGAGCGACGAGGATGGCACAATATTCGCTATCGCCTCCGGCTAGCCCTGTCCAAACTAGTACCTGGAAGAAGCTAGCGGTTAGCATTGTCTCGTTTCCAAGAGCCGTTTGAGTGGTGTCGACTTACCATAGCAATGCATCGTGCTAATCCAACAATGATCAGCCCCTGTCGCAATTCTGGCTCGTCGGGCAAAAAAGCCCAAGCCAAGGCCAACTAGTGGAACCAAGTCAGTGAGAAACTCCGTGTCATGGAAGTGTTGGGATCACGGACCATAAGAAAAGGGGCAATAATCCAGTTCAGGAAAACACTGAAGGCGATCTGGATCCAAATATCTTTCGCTCGCAAAACATGATGCAGGGATTCAAACCGAATCTTGCACAAGATAGGGTACATCATGACCAGAAGACCCACAGCTAGAAATACATATTCAGTTAGCGAAAACTACAAAATCATTGCTGGTTTCTTGTGCGTACCAATGGGGACAGAGACTCCCACAAATTTTCCCCTTTGTAGGGCAGGTCCTGTGCTTGGGACAAAGTTGCCCAGGATGATTCCAATTGCCATGGCAAGAAAAATCCATATTGCCAAGAATCGGTCAAGGATACCGAGACTTGAGAACATGGATTCTTTCTTCTGTGGCTCATCTGGAGAAGAGGTCTCCCGTTGCTTTTCAATGTCGCATGTCTTTATTTGGTCGTTGGGAGGACTGGAGGTGTGTAAACATGTCTGTGGTCGTATTGATGTCATGGCGAGTGACCAAGTTTGTTCGGTTAATGGTTGATAGAAGATATAGTGGTCAGAATTTAAAGATGTAGCATGGAATTTTTGTATTTGTCTAGATGTGTCCATGAATATTTATATTTGTATAGAACTAGATGGTAGTGGTATGTCACTGACGGGCGCTGATTGGCTGAAGTGCCAAGCCGAGGCCAACCAATCAGAATTTGGTAGTGACATTCCTCATAGGCGGTATCCGGGGTATTCTGGCTGCAGAGCCAACCGCCTGAGGAGTGTCAAATCTCTCAAACCTCAAGCTCAGAATTTATCTTGACACAATGTCAGCCGAGCTTCCATGGCATGCTGCATATCCCGCACCAAGGGGCGCGGTACCCTCCATATCACGAGAAGAGCTATTGCAATGGATCCGAGAGGGTAAACAAGCAGGCAAAGACTTTGTACTTGTTGACTTGCGTCGCACGGACTATGAGGTGCGAACTGTCGAAAAAAATGACATCTTCATGCGCTGATGTATCAAAAGGGAGGGACGATCCAAGGCTCTTTGAACTTGCCAGCTCAGAGTTTATACCCCACGATCCCAACATTATATTCTCTTGTGTCGAACAGCAGCGTGAAATATGTGATTTGGTATTGCGGTGAGCTTTACTTGATACATATGATAGCGATATCTTGAAACGCGAATACTGATCTGCATTCAGGGTCATCTGGGGGTCGGGGTACTCGTGCAGCCGGCTGGTTTGCGGATTACCTTGAAGATCAACACGATAAAGAGGTCAAGAGCTTGGTTCTCACGGGGGGCATCAAAGGATGGGCTGCGGCTGGTCCGGAGTATACATCCTTGATGAATGGGTATGATGCCTCTGTTTGGACAAAGTAGAAGCAAGCACTCATTAAATGACATGATGTTTGTCAAGTTTCCATCTTATAAGGGGTCTCGTAACCTGAAGAGCTGATTTACCAAGAAGATTTCTTCGGATACTCGACCACATCGTCCGATTAGGTAAACTTCTTCGGTGTTATCTCTTCGGCGGGATGTGGTCGGCGGGATGTGATATGCACGCCTCGTCTCGAAATAGATATACATGTATGCTGGCCGTTGGTTGAGGCATGGTCCCACGATCCAATTGGATTTAGCATTGTGCATAATGTGCAAGTCACTTTACAGTGCAAGGTGTGTTAAGAAAGTATAATTAAACTTGTACTAATTTAGCGAGGCCCGCCATATCCAAACAGTCTCAGAAAGATCCTCAATATAAATTTCCCCCGATAGTATTCTCTTATGCACACTCTCAAGCTAAATGGGTATCTTTGGAGCTATTGAAGCCCAGGAACACAGTTACTCATTTCTCCAGGCCCCCCAGTGCGCTCTGTGAAGTTGTTCTTCGATATGTCAGTAACATCACCGAGGCAAGACATAGTGAATACCAAGGGTACGCGGACTAGATACCTATGTTCAACCTATTCAATTATTGGCGAGATGAGGGTGCGAATATGTTTCAGAGAGGTTCTTATCAAGGGATGCGCGTCGCGTTTCTTGTTCTTCGGTTGTAGGCTCAACCGGACTTGGAGCAGCGACCTCGCTCAAAGCGCCATATTCATCTCTATCATCGTCCCCAGTATCTGTCTGTCGCTTGCTTTCTGGTTTGGAACCTGAATCTTTCTTACGGCCACAGGTGAATATTCGCTGGAGTTTTGAAAGTGTCATATTATCCAATAAATGAGATCAAGGCGAAAGATGCTGTACAAGTACAATGTAAGAGAAGGGTTTTCAATAGACCAACATCCAAGACCCAGGAGACTATAAATGATTGGCCACTTTGCTACGTCATGACTATGAAGGGGTGGGCAGATTATCGGATACGTTTCCGAGTTGGCCGGAGTGTTAGTTGGGCTGAAATTGTGTCGATGATCTTCAGATTCGAAATGAAGAGGTTCATCGTGTAGTCCGTATGTCGTTGCGATTATCTCGGACCTAACGTGCCGTTGTTCCTAACTCCGACCTTGGCATTCCCGTCTCAACCTTCGGTCTTGTGACTTCACTCCCTCAACTATAGTTGCTTTCGAAGATGACTCTCCAAATTGATCAACCGCCTCTCGAGCAAATAAGTTCAGAAAATTCGATGGACACGTTGGATCCTCTGGCTCGAAGACGACTACAAAATCGCCTCAATCAACGTGCGAGCAGTAAGTGGCACTTCTATTTGCCACCCGGCATTAACTGTGCAGACTAACACCATATACAGGAAAAAGGAAGGCGTTAGAGTATAAAGAGAAAAACAACACGCCAGAAAGGAAATGGGTTCTCTATATCGATGATTCGAACATCTCAAAAAGAGAATGCATCCACAGAAGAAGGAACAAGCCATCAAGTTACTCAATCATCGCCACCTCGCCAAACCGAAGTCTCTTTTTGTTCCCTGAACCCTGCCCAGCATGCTGCGCTTATGAACAAATTCCGTGCAAAAGCTTTGCATATGATAGAGAACCCGGCCCTCCTGCAAAATCCCACCTTTAGCATCACCCAGTACAATATACTTCGAGCTATGTTCATCAACGCCGATCTCATGGGCCTCACATTAGAGCTTCTCAATGAAGACCTCGCGTCGCAGTTCAACCTCACCGGTCCATTAATGTCAGCGCTACATCTCCCAGCAAGCCTGTGTCCATCTCAGAAACAAAAGAAAATCATCCACCACCCCTGGATCGACTTGATTCCAATGGTATCTCTACGGGAGGCCATCTTGACTAGGGCGGACGTAATTGACGAAGATGAATTGTGCGGCGATTTTTACGGATCTTCTCCTTCCCAAGAAGTCGGGCTTCGCGTTTGGGGCGAAGCTTGGGATCCATCTGCTTATGAGGTCTCGGAGACATTGATCAGGAAATTCGGTTGGATGGTAAAGGACTGTCCCGACATCATCAACTCTTCTAACTACTGGAGGAAACAGAGAGGGGAAAAGCCCATCATGTTCAAGATCAAGTGATATTTCAATGTATATATAATAAACACATCGAATTCCTTTCAACTTCGCATCGCTCACAGCGAAAACTTCTCCTGGGTCAGTCTCTCGCTGAGTTCCCACAATTTGGACCAATTGCCTTCGTCGTTGAGGTGCGCATGCAATTCGTCGTCTGCGACTGCGTTCCGGTTGAGGTATGCTCCATTGTAGCCTGGGGGCAGGATTAGTCGAAGACACCATAAGAACGGATTGATGGAGGTGTTCAACTTACCTGCGATGGTAGGGTCGAGCATTCCTGTAATGATGGTAGCGGCTCCCTCTGAGGTAGTGGTCCAAGGGGGCACTTCGAAAGGCTTTCCTTCGATGTCGACCAGGGCTAAGAGATCGTTTAGTGAGGAGCAGAAAATATTCAACAATAGGGCAATCCATACATCCAGCCTTTTTCCATTCTTCGACCTTGTCCAAAAAATCAGGAGGGCAGTATCGTTGCAGACCGGTTTGAACAGCTAAATGATGGTCAGCTAGATCCACTAAATAGTAAGAAGGAGAAACAAGACATACCACCAGGGTCAATACTAAAAACGCGGATCTTCTCGCCCTTCAACTTCTGGCCTAGTCTTTTGGCAAACATGACTCTCGCGGCGTTCGACTGGGCATACGCGACCGTAGGGTCATATGTCCGACCATCCTACAAGGAAACGGAATGTCAACGCGGTTGAATATAACGGGTAAGTAAAACTTACACTAAAGTTGTAGTCATCGAAGTTCATCTTCCCTTGTTTAGCCATGCCCGAGGTCATGATAATCACAGACGAATCGGGCCCCGCAGCACGGATCTTCGGTAGGAGCAACTTGACGAGCAGGAAGTTCGCTAGATAGTTGACTCCAAATTGGCTCTCAAATCCATCTTTTGTCTTGGTGTAAGGCGGGAACATTACTCCAGCCACGCATACAAGGTGATCGATGTGAGGCACATCTGCTAGGTCTCCGACAGCGTTTCGCACGGCGGTCAAGTCACTCAGGTCCAGGTTGAGGAAGCGAGTCTCTACGTTCGGCTTGGATGACTTGATTTTCTCTCTGATGCCTGCCACCTTTGATTCAGCACGGGCACTTAGGATGAGTAGCTTTGGGTCGGCGGTGGAAAGCTGGAGTGCAAGTTCGCCTGCGATGGAGTTGTCGGAAACGCCGGTGATGAGCACTGTGATGAAGGAGCCTCTGTCAGTGCTCTTCTCTTCTTTAGATGAGGGGAATATTTGATTTACCTGTCTTTCCAGCAAGTGCCTTGCCATACTTCTCGAGGACGACCTCGGAGCGGAGGATTTGCTGCTTGTTGGTCATTTTGGATCAAGGTGTTTGGAGATAAAGAACTGAGCAATGGAGAAATCAAAGAAGTCTTGATTGATATATCCTCCACTTGACTAGACACAACAGTCCACTTTATACATTTTCTTTCGGCGATAATGGGATTAAGTGTTTTTGAAAGGCATCGCTAGTATAGTTCAGATTGGCCAATCAAGATCCGGGGAAATCCCCACCCTTACCGTATCGGGTTAGCCCAATGTCATCAAGTATCAGATTGTTTCTTCAATAATTATTCCTAAGCAATTAGATGATAGAACGTAATAGGGATATACTAAGGACTTAAGATGAAACATCCGTTAACTCCTACTACAGTCTTTGCTTTATGCAGGCGAGATTACATGTTAGAACATGTTCAAGTAGGATATTATGATACAATTGCACTTTGATAATCATAGAGTACAGTAAAATATAGAAATATAGCTACACAATGTATTCCCTTTTGAACCGAAATATGTCTAAACTGAGAGAATGTAATCGGTCAAAACGCATAAAGCCGCCTATGGTGCACATGTACGATCTCCCCCTCACTGTACGACGACTTGGAGAAGGGTTGCTCGATTTAGTCATGCTGTCATGCTAACTATTGGACAGGTGGGGAACATCGACTCATATTAAGGACCACTTAGGGGCAACCGTCATAGATTGAGCTAAGGATAAGGGTGAAAATACTCTGTTGAATTTCTCCGTTCCTTGCCTTCTATCGGCAATGACTCGGCGCTCAAACGGAGATGGGTTGCATTGTAGAGAACGCCAGTGGCAAAGGTTTGAAAAAGAAACACAGGCTCTTTATTTATCGTTAGGTTTGTGGGTGTAGATGGGCAAATTAGAATGAAATCCCTATTGGTTTTTTTGGAAGACTTCTTGCGAAACCATGGGAAGAGCGAGAGTGGTTGAACAATCCGCGACAGCCGAAAGATCAGTGTGTGTGGTTCCTGCAAGACCCGAAGAGCCCTTGCTAATAAGAATAATAGCAGAGAGAGATCCCCATATGCCAACGAGTGTATCATAACTGTAGGACTCCCTTGAATTGACTAGATAGCCAACGGACCTGGTGACGGAAGACTAGAGATATAGATTTGTGCCAAGACGAGAGAGAAATGGTAAATGTGATTATTAGATTCCAACAGGAGGCTAAACCAGAGCCACCGGCCCGATTGTCTACACGTATTCAATACAATGCGCCGAGCCAAATAAAACAAGAAAAGGTCATCACACATATCAGCAGAACAGACATGAAAAAGCAGTGCCCAAAACAGCCTGCTCTAGAACCACATGATGCCTGCAACGAGACCGATCACAACGGCCATACAGCTTCCATGGAGCTCATGTGAGTGCCGACCAGCGGCAGCATCGGTGGAATCCTCAGCGCCAACTTTTTGTTGGGGCGGTGCTTGCTCAGATGCGGTGATTAGGTCTTGATTTGAGGCGGCAGCGTTGGGAATCGTGGATTCGGGTATTAATAATTTAGAAGCGCCGTTGATCTGCTCCGCGGGGAATATCGATTTCGCATAATTTGCTCCGTGGAGTCCGACGCGCTTTCCAAAATCAATGGCGACATGGCAGGCCTGCTGGAACATGTCGCGGAGTGAGGCAGGAGGTGGCAACGGTGGCGTCTGAATGCTGTCGGAGGAATTATTATATGACAAGATGTTTGGAAGAGATTCGATGTCGGATGCGGTTGGTAGGGATTCGTTGATGGTGATGGTAGGATCCGGATGCGTCAAGCCCGTAACTAGGCTGCGGTTGGAAAATGAGGCGAGGAATGGGTAGTCGTCTAATTGCTGGATGAAGTAGGTTCTGAATGCGCGGGCTCTGCGACTGAATGAAAATGAGGATTCGCGGGTTGACGATGCAAGTCGACTTTTATTTGCGACAGCGGTCGTTTCGCTGGGCGGGACCACAGCGGCATTTCCAACCCGCGCAGTCACGGGTGGGCGATTACCTCGCGATCGATGTGACGCAGCAAGAACCCATGATTTGAGAGGCTCGTTGGGCGGTGGTGCTTTCGGTGCTAATTCGGTGACACTATCTTGAAGGAGAGGAACATCTGGACAGTCGACTTGGTTAGTTGACTCGGATGAGCTGGGTGGCGGAAAGCGGGACATACGGCGAACTGCGCCGGTGTAGAAGCTGAAGTCCGCAAACTTCGAATGGTAGAGACTCGGTAGTGATGGCACCAATGTGAGAAGCGAAAACACAATGAGGATGAGGAGTGGAAGAGCACCAGGTTTATCCAAGCCAGACCGCATCGTCCCTGCTCCCTGACTCCGTCCAGAAGCTTCGGAGGGGTATTTTGAGGTTCAGACTTCACGAGAATCGAGGAGAAGCAAGAATGACAGTTTCAAGGCCATGGAGGGGACAAGCTCGGGTGTTTCGCGGTTTCAATGCAACGTTCCGTGAGATGCAGTGTTTCTGCAGAGCAACGCGCCGACGCGCAGGGGGGCTGGTCTATCTAGAAGGTGGCCGGGGACGAGATTTAGGAGCTTGAGTATAGAAAAGATGCGAGGAGAGCACAGATGCGGTGGGATTAGGTGGATTCGACGGGGTTAAGAGTCGAATGAAGCACGATAAGGAGCCCTCGGGGTAGGTGGATGCGCTTCCTTGGCTCTTCTCTTTTTTTTCGCACAGAGCCCCGAGTATGACGTCGATGACCGTTTTGTAGAACAACAACAACCTGGACTTATTTGAAATGTGCCGTTTGATCTGAAGTGTACAAAATCCCCCTCTGCCGAAAACGTCGAGGAATGTTTCCCACGTTGGCCGCATTTTGACAGTTTGAGGGTTTCCCTTCCAAGAATGTGGGCCTGAGGCATCACTGTCCCTAGCAACGTGTCGATCACCGAAGAGAAAAACAGGATTCTGCATTAAAACATCCTGGTTGTTCAGTAGTTCATCGACTATTTTATTTATTATTCCCGCTTTAGCCCTCGTGCATAGTGTGATGTGCGCTCTATCGCTCGTGGCAACCGGTGAGTACCGAATGTCGTGACGAAGAACTTCCAGTACTCCAACGAACCATGGCTCCTAACCAGCATATATACATCACTACCTAGGTATATGATAAGCATCGGTGAGCTAACCACTTCATAGGTAGCCAAAGCTGCCGAAGAAGTGGGGGTTATTTCTGGCTATACATAAGTACCCCGATAGATAGTTAGTCAATAGCATAGAGCGCAAAACATGTCATTCCATCGTCAAGTGAATGAAAATCATCACAGCGTAGCGCATATTTACAGGTCTCAAAAAGAAATGCATAATGTTATATACACATATGCTTGGTAAAAGCAAAAGCCAAGAGAAAAAAATAAAAGAAGCGAAACATGCCAAAGACAAGGACAAGAATCGGAGCATCATCTCTTCTTTAATCATGCACATTCCAATCTCCATTAAAACGGATTCACCATAGAAGCATCAGGACCAGCCGGCCGGCTCTCTCCACCACGAACTCCAGAAACAGGAGTAGATTTCGTAACCGGAACTGGCGAAACGGTAGTCGGCACACTAACATGACTAGGCGAGCGACTACTGCGACTGTGTGAGCCACCACCGCGGGAGACACTGCTCCCGGGAGTGCCGGTACTGGAACCAGGCTTCCCGCCGCGTTTGACCATCTTCCCCAGCACGGTGACGATCTCTGCGGCGTCTTCGAAGCTCTCGTCGTCCATGCCTTCTTGGGAATTGTAGACGTCCGCGATGGCCTGTTTTGCGAGGCGGCGGCACGCGATGGGGTCTTGGAGGCAGTCGTATAGATAGGCTGCGTATTCGAGCTTGACGGAGAGACGCAGAGGGTGCGAGCCTGGTAGGAGTTTGTCGGAGAGGGTTGCTGCGTGGTTGAAGCAGGCTGTTGCTGTGGCTGTGTAGTCTAATGGGGGGAGGAGGAAGGAGGAGATGGGTTGGGGTGGCTGAACTGGTTGCAGTACTGGAAGGCCTGGAGGACGGGATGTTGGTGTTGATGCCGCATTGATTTTGGACTTGTAGGGGTGGGAGACGCCGAGGGCGGTTAGGGTATCTGCGCCGTATATGGAGTCATGTTTGAAACGTGTTGGTATGTCGGTGTCGGGAGTGAAAATTGGGCGATTGTGGAATAGGACGAAGATATGGTAGAAGGAAGCGCGGAGTTTGTAGCCGAGCACTTTCAGCTCCACAAACCTGTCTACCATGGGGAGGATGTAGCCCTCCAGTATTAGTAGGCCTTCGCGGGAGAGCCATATAATACGATGGTACAGCTGAAGGGATCTTGTTTCACGTGTTGTGTCGAGTCGCCGCAGCTTGCGGGCTCTAAGAAGTTTTTTTGATAGCATGACGGAGACTCCGAGGACTTTGTATAGCATTGCCGAGAGCAAGGGATTTTCGAGGTCCATGACGGCCGCGAAATTGCCCAGGGCCTTCTGATCCACTTCGGAGGAGGCCATCCATAAAGCCCACGACCCGGAAATTAGGAAGTCTGGATATATAGTGTCAGCCATGTTGGTCATTAGTCTCAAGCAACAGGCGTAAAGGTTCGGGGAAGACCAATTGGCCGAGACTCAATTGCAAAGCTAGGAACCCCTCAACAGATAAATGAATAGGCAAAGACAACGCCAACTTACCGAAAAGCGCGCAAACAGAATTTCAAATAACCAAACGCAGCGACTGAATCATGCTCCAGCCACGCGCGTATCCCCGAGCCGCGGACCAATTGATCTACGAGATCGATCTTGGCGTACAAAAGTCCAAACTATTCCAGCGATGCGCCGGAGCCAAAATACGGAATATCCGAAACCAAAAACAGCAAGTTCCGCGCAAGCTGCAAGGTTCAGCTGGACCGAGGGGGCGGCGATTGTTCAGACCGCGGAGTATATCACAGCCAATGGCTTTCGTTTCTGGGAGCGGGCACCAAATCCAATTGCGACAACCGAGTATATAATGTTTGAATTGTAGTAGGTAGTGCTGTCCGCGCGATCAAATCAATATTTCCTATTTTGATCTAGCGACGGCCGAGTTCTGAATGTCGTATTCACGCGGTGTGGTGGCTGGGAATCCGGCTAGCAACGCAAGGAGCAGGCAATGAGGTGACGGAGCTCGTGGCTGGATTGGAAGTAGAAACGCATCGTGCGGCGGCAAAGTAGGGGGTAGAGTGGGCGAATGCGACGATTTTCAGTGCCGGCGAAGTCTGTGCGGGGAAGGAATTGGGGACTTGTCTCGGGTATGAAGCTACTAGCCCGGGCGGCTCGAGCTAGAAGTGCTGGGGGGTTAGTGTTATTAATGTAGATGTTCGGGCTACCTGTAGGGAGTCAAGCCCGTGGATTAAAAGAGAATTAGGAATTGAAAGATATTCGCAGACTGCAAAAATGCAAGGTCATGCTAGCTGCGTGGTTTCCCCTGATATGACGAAGAGATCGGGTTGGACTCGGGATAGGTGTATGGAGTATTGTATAGTAATGGTTACTAGTCTGTCTTGAAGTCCCACAATCAGAACAGAATTGTACAGAATTGTACAGAATTCATTGGCATAGATGTGCTACGAGTGGAGGTAATGGACTATTTGTATAAAGCAGACTCAGTAGGGTGCAATTGCAGTGCCCAGTGGCAACTTCTCTCACTCTAGTATATTAAATGCTGTGCTGTCCTGCACTAGTCTGAGTTTCGTGATGTCAATTGATCCTGTTAACTCCCTAGTAATGCCAGGTTTGCTACGTGGCAGCGGCTCAAGGCGAGAAACAATTAGGGCACCATCGCAGATCGGCTGGGCACTGCCTGGCTAAATAGGTGCCCAAGTCCTCGGGCCAGATTACTTTGAATGTACCTGGGCATGGAAACCTTAGCACGGACTGCCACGCTGGCAGTGGCTGTGATTGTGTGTATTGGTATTATTAGTGTAGTTGTGATACTATCTGATGTGATGGAAGTGAGGATTGTAGTGTTCATTGTACGACCTTGGACATCCATTGATCTACATTCAACATAGAAGAATAATACATCATTTATATACTACAGCTCTGCAACTTACGTTGTGTTCCCAAATTACCGTATCTGAGCTGTTACACCGCCAGAATGATGCCCCTGTTGATCGCCCAATTAGACCAATCCATTGTATGGCTGTACAGTACGTTGCAGATAAATGCAAAACTTGGTAATTTAAGGATTTTTTCATTTGACTGTAATTTTTACGCCTGTTTTCCATATCCAACGACGGCCTTGTACATATTAGTCTCCACTATAAGCCTGGGATGCAAGCTATGTATCGTGCATGCAAAAGTAACCAAAGAAAAAATGCTAAAACAAAATCGCCCTATTCATCTAGGTCATCGACTGGGAATCCAACAAATGCGCGCCTCAAGAAAACCCGCCAGATATCGTTCGCTGGCTTCTTTTGCTTGCCAGCCGACTCGGCGCCTTGGCTATTGGCATCGCTGGTGTGCTTTTCTTCAACTCCTTCCTCGGCAATTCTAGCTGCGAGTTGGAAGAAGCTGCGTACTGTAAGGTCTTTCATTTGATACACGTCATCATTTGTGGTGTACTCGATCTCGTAGTCAAGACGATGATCGTGGCCTCGTTTGCCTGCCGCGATCTGTTCGTGGATTTTTGTTAGGTTTGAGTAATATTGAGTGTAGGCAAGCATCGTAAACGCCTGGTTCGAGTATGCCGGACCGGGAGGGGCAGTTGGCGATGGGGGCTCGGGGACTTTGAAATTGGGTTTCTTTTTCTTGTCCTTGCCCTTTTTCTTCTTCTTCTTCTGAATTTCGGGGGGGATTACAGAGTCGTTGCTGGTTTCCGGTGGATTAACTGCAGTATGATCCAGTTCAACCGCTGTATCGTCAACCTCACGTCCGAACATCTCCACACCATGTGTGACAACGTCCAGTCCCGTGGTGTTGTAGTCGATCACGCGCAGACTGGGGAAGAAATTCGGGACCAAACTGGGAGACACTAGCGATACGCTGTATCGTTCTGCCCACGGGCCTCCAATCTTGTCCAAGAACTTCTGCTTCTTCTTCTTCTTTTTACCCTTCTTGTTTGTTCCAACCTCCGGGGAGATATCTCCCAAATTCGATATGGAGTCAAGCTCCTCGAAAATGTCCGACGGAGGAGATGGCAATGAGGACCATTGGTTTCGGAGCGATTGAAGGTAGTCGGTCTTTGAGCTGATCGACAGCTTCCCATTGACATTTGAATCAATGTCGACCTTGTTGCTATCCTGGAGCATGAAGTGGTCGATGTTCATATGGCCGTAAAAGCTGCCGACAACAATGTCACGGTACTGGTGCATCCAGAGCGTGTATTTTTGCCAGCATGTTTCATCCCAGTTCTTTTTCTCGCTCGACCGGGCCGGGGGGACATGGCCCATGAGGATCGCTTTCATATTGCGACTGCGCAGAATTTTCAATTGCACTCGCAACCACTCCATGTGCTCGTATCCAGGTTCTGACTTGGCGTTGCATCCATCCACCGCGCTGTTAGAATCGAAGAAGTACATGGTGTTTAGGCTGATGACCGCTAGCCGACCGGGGATCACCTCCGTGGTGAACCAACCGCCCTCGACGAATGTGTGACGCTGATCTTCTGGGATGAACTGGTCCCATATCTCTGCAAATCGCTTTGTCCACTTGTTCGGGCCCTTGTTGAAGATGTTGTGGGGCATGATATCGTTATTACCGAATGTCGGGATCACAGGGATCGACATTTTAGGCACGCCATTCGAGGTCCCACTAACCCCTTCCTCACCGAAAATGCTAATCCATTTTTGCGACAGGAAGGCATTCAAATCCAGAATCTCATCTGCCGTGCGAGGGAGCTTCTCGTCATTGTCGTGTCGGACAGAATCACCGGTCCAAATCACGAAATCAATCTCATCTTTCAAGTTTTCTTCGATCCAGCGATATGTCTCATTCACAAGCGATAAAGCCGAATCGCAATCTGTGCCCTCGGCTCCAAAATACCCCGCGGGGCCCTTACCACGGTGGCACGAGCGATCGATCGAGGTTCCGGGCTTATAGAGGCGGTCGGGATGAAAATCTGTTGGTCAGCATGAGGTTACACAACAGAGAAATCAGCGTAGAGAACTGTCTCCTACCAGTTATATGCAAGAATCGTCCGCGTACAGGTTTGCGCAAACCCTCCGCCAGCTGCCCACTAGGCAGTTCCGTTGGACTGAGACGGCCCAACGGCTGTTGTCCCAAGGGGCTGGCGGAGATGGCGTCGGCAAAGAGGCCCAGCAGCAAGAAAATTGACTGCATGAGTCCTCTACACCAACTGGTACACCAAGAGAGAAATGTGGGTGAAGTTCAGGACCTCGGAATATTTTGGGTTAAGATCTTATCTGCACGGTCACGTCACTGGGCGGGCGCGGTAGCCGAACCCCAACTCACACGCGTAACCAATCAGAGGCCGGTGGTCAATTTGGGGAGGGAAGTGAAGAGTTGATAAATGGTCTTTAGTATTTACTGCGAACTCAGTATAAAATTAGACATTTAGAGTTAATCTGATATCCAGGACAGCCAATGACTTCATCACGTGCCAATGGCCCTTGAGGGGACCTTGGGAGTTCAGGTAGAAACTTTCCATGGCCAGATCCCTCGCTGTACATAAGAAGTCCTTTCTATTTGATTGGTGCAAAGTGATAGGCCCGACGTGTCTACTTCGTACTATTATTCCCAGTAGTATTCTTCGTTCACAGTGTATGTGATGTACACGCGACCGTCTTGTCCGACAAAGATCTCCCCTTCTCCAACGAAGATCCTTTCCTCGAGTGTCATGGCCACGTACCGCCAATCGTTGGTCTAGAATCATCCATCAAATCAGCGCTATGTAGGACATTTCTTATAGATGCTTTCGGCTTACCGCGAAGGAAAAACGGGCCGCTGTAGATACCGAAAGTTAGCCGTGAGCCTCGATATATATATGTAACATGGAAAGATATACAGCTGATGGTTCCCCTTCAACCTTGTAGCGCAGCATGAATGGCGTCCGCAGTGACTATCAGATGACCACGGATGTAATGTGAATCAACTACCGATATGTAAATAGGTGAACAGGCCAAATGATATTTGTTGAAGTTATGGCTCACGCCGTTGTCTGGAGTCCTGGAGATAAAAGCGATCAGCAAAAGTCTGGCGCTCCGGGCCCTCCTAGACATGTGTACTTTAACATACATGAGCTGGACTGTTGCGTCAAGGAATGTCTCCTCATTGAGTACAACATGAACGTATGGGCTGTCGACATTGATGGCAGTTGCAGTCACAACCGGGACAAACTCGGGAAATGTCTCTATCCTAGCTCGGGTGCCGGGCTATTCAGATAGGCAGGAATGTTAGTAAAATGAGGGTCATTCGGGATGAGAGATGCTTGGTGATTTACTACTGCGACGAACCCTTCGAAATATTCAGTGCCCGCTATAAAGCGGCAAACCCGTCAGTGAACCAGTGACATTGGACAAAGTGCTACAGATATGACCTACCAGTTTCGAGTTGGCCGAGTATATTCGCCTGCATGATTCTCTGATTAGTGACGGTCCACATGTTTATTGATATTAGATCCACACTTAGAAGACAAAGGCTCGTCCAAGAATTGGCAGTTCCATGATATGATGGCGAGAGACTTAGAAGTCTGGAAGAATGGAAAAGGAAGAAAGTAAAATGAGAAAGGACGAGTGGCAGAGGGTAGAGAGGGAAAGTGCACATCCATCCAACAAGCAGAAGGTCGTCTAAACAAACGCACATCCCACGCTCGCCAAGGAGAGACTTTTCTGACCTTTTGACATCGGTTCCTCTGTGAATTATCGAGGCTTATACAAGCATCATGGTCTTCACTTTACGTGATATATAAAGTGATTAATCCCTACGGTTATGAAAGGCATATAATCCCGGACCCTAGCCACCTAGGCAGTATTATGAGTTATCTTTCAACTTTATATAAGAATAATATAAGAGATATCTCACTTCAAAAGAGGGGAGATTTGAATATATAAAGCCTTAGACAGCCTGAGCTATCCAAGTCATTGTGGTAGTCTCATTGATAGACGTAGGTAGCATCTATGCCCAGAAGCAAAATGGAGTTATCAACGGATTTCAAAGATAGAGATCACTTGCAGCTATGTACTGATGTATGTAGCTTCATAGATGCGACCATATGCTTGCGCCTCCTGGCTCCAGCTTGACCCAGGGCGGCCAGAATGGCTATGTTGCATGCTTTATATATATGTGTGGAAGCAAAAAGGATTGGCCGACAAATCTTCCAGGACACAGAGGACCTACGGCCAGCTATATAGTATAGCTTTATAGAGGACAAAGAGGGTTACCAAATAGGAAGTCGACAAAGCATTCATAAACAGACAAAGGCATAACAAACTGCACCAGTAAGCAGTAAGCACTCTAGCGCAGGATATGAAACAACTGTAAGGAGAGTGCAAGCTAGTTAACTATATAGGATGAGCTTCTTGATTGATAACAAGCATAAGAAACACATAATATTGGTAGTGTCGAACTTCAGTCGTGTACATTTGCTGACTCATATCAACTGCCCGGGTGGTCTAGTGGGTAAGAAACTCTCCAGCTCCACACAGTTAGTTCCTTTAACTAACAAATCTTCAGTATGATTCGCGCTTAGGGTTCACCCAAAGCATTAATGCGCGAGGTCCCCGGTTCGATCCCGGGCTCGGGCCCATTCTTTTTTTTTTTCTTCCTTATTGAAGGAATCTAATATGGAAATGCTAAAAGCGTCATGCGAAATGTCATTTTGGTTAGATATCAAGGATATGTGAGGGCCGCGAAAGTTCTGCGGATCGGCCGATAATATCAACCACACCCTTGTTTTTGTTTTTGCTAATTTAGGTTGAAGAACAATAAGTATACATAGATCCCGCACAAATATCCTAAAATCCGAAATCAACACAAAAGAAAAGAGATAAAAAAAACAAGGTGCAAATCCAAGGATGAAAAGAGGGAGAAATCGATAACTAACGTCCATGAACCGGGCATACATGATGATGATGATCATGTCCTGGTCCATAGTCTTCCTCACGCTTATGTTCATAACAATTCATATAATGATCGAAAATTCCCTCTGCGAGCAGTCCCCTGCGCTCAAGTCTAAGCATCAGGTAACAAGCCCAGAGTTGGCAGCTCTGTAGTGGAACCTCTCTAGCCTCTGCTTCGACAGTATGGATGTTGTCTCGATGAATTTCACCGAGCAAGTGTGTGGATTCGACCGACCAGCTATCAAATCTCTTGTTATATTCGATCTCCAAGTTACGATTCCCCATGTAGCCAGTGCTGTGGAGTCGAGTGCAAGACTGAGAATGTGGATGCCTCGTAACGAGCATCCAATGGATGACACCCCCCTGCGGCTTGCAAATTTGAAGATGGAGTTCATAGTGACGACCGTGATCGTGTCGTCGGTCACGAGGTGTGCTGTGACCCTGTGAACGTATAGTTGGTCCTCGACTAGGCATGGTTACAATATGAAAGGTTGCTAGGGGCTGATATCTGTAAAAAGGTGTGAGTATAACGAGTATATTGACGATGTTTTTGAGTGGAAAGATTGTTTGCTGTGATGATCGAGTTAATTCTGAGCGAGGACTCGATCGTTCTTATAGATATTCCTCGAGTTCATTGACTCGTGGGTTATACAATGGGCTAATAAAAATCCTTTATTAAACACAGATTAACAAAGTCTTTGTTGCCTGGATGCCTTTACAAACAATTAGTCTTTATTAATCTAATTGTCCTACAAAGACTTTCTATAATTTCTTTCACTAGCCTAAGATAGCTAGCGTTATGTCTCCTATATTAGATGACATCGTGTCTTCTTTGTTAAAAGGGTAAAGGGTTGAAAGAATATTGTTCATGTGTCATGGAAACAAGTAAAAATAGTCGTCAATATACCTAATTCAAGTCAAGCTTTCAATTCCCAGAGCGGGGTAGGTGAGGCTGAGATGAGATACGATGACATTCACGGCTTGGCATCAGATGGATAGCTGGTCCTTGAAGGGTTTGTCGACAGCATTTCTGACTATGTCGTAGGATCTCTCTGTGCTTATTCACATTATCTATCTTATGGCAGGTACATGTGCTCTTACTGCATTAAACTTCTGGGTATCTATTATAGTACTTCGCATAGGATATTTATACATAGACATGTACCGACTTCTTCGAGTCCCTCATCTCGTGTACTTCGTCAAACTCATTATTATTCCCCTCCAGAATATCATCCGTGCTAGAATTATCCGGATTAGGTATCAACGACTTTGGTGTCAACCTCCGGGATCTAGGCGTGGGCAAAGAGTTTCCTGGATATGAGGAACTCAACTCGTATGCGCTCCGTCCACTTCCCGTTGTTCCTCGGCCGGATCGTAATAGGGATCTGATGCAAGGTATCGATGCCGTTATGATGACTATGTAGGCTTCGATGAATAGCCAGCGATCGTAGTTGACGGTTGCGACAGTTGGGTCGTCGTCTGCGTGCGCGAAGACTTGGGTTTGCACTGCTTTCATAACGGAGGCTGCCATTGCACTAGATCCAAAATAACTCCGTTAGCTGGTATATCCCTTGAAATGAAGTAGCGATTAGGGACTCACAAAATGCCTAATCCGAGGAGTGTGACCAAGCCCAACTTGACCCTTAACTTCAAATTCAAATTCCAGAATACGTATGTTGAAAAAACTGCCAGGTAAAGGTCTGTGGCTGAATTAAACGCTGTTGAAGCAGATTATTAGTCTCAGATGTAGACCAGGGCAATGAATGGAAGCTCGTACAGCCCTGATAGTACCCGTAGTATGCTTGGACGCGGTAATCCCAGCATTTGTCTTTCCCATTCTGCGTCCAGATAGCAGAACCATGTCCAGGACATTGGACAAATAGAATGATAATCAACATCACGTTAGTCACGATTTGTAACCCAACTATGACCCACAGTATCACTCTGTGGGATCTCCTGGTGCCCAGTAGCTGAATGACAAAGACAATGAAGGAAATGCGACCCAAAGTACCGCCAGCAATGCCGAATGTCTGTGTCAAATAGTCGTACATGATGACTTTTGGAACGGCTGTGGTTGTGTTAAGGTCCCAAACATGGCGACCGAAGCCATATTTGATGCCCACGGTAATCAGAGCTGATCCGACTATAGTAAGACACTGCCAGGGGACAGGTCAGTTTTGATCTTCCAAAACAATTACGCGACACGTGGACTAACCAATGCCGACACCATAAGAATGTCATCCCAGCCAATCTTCCGGATCTTTATTTTCGCAATCACCCTCAAGACGACTATGAGAATGGCGATCCCCGTGAGCGCCCAAATGTCTCTCAGGAGCCTTGGGCCGTAGTCGTCGATGTCGCCTCGAACTGAGAGAGACATGTCGCTCGGTCGATAGCATGGAATTTCCCACAAAAAAACAGAAAGGATGCGAGAGGCATATCTACAGGTAGACATCGATACATTGAATTCCAAATATGCCCGATGTCAACCGGCTATATTAGCCTTTTATCATATCTATACTTTATCAAAATAACAAATCTCATCGGAGATGTCCATGTGGCCAACCCCAGGCTCTTGACCCTTGTCAAACCTTTCAACTGTAACTTAGATAGCCTTGGAAAGTATAAAGCTGAGGACGTCCGTCGGAGGTCTCCGCTTGAAAAAGATAAGATATGGCCTTGACCTATGAAATCTCGCAATATCCCAAAATTAAAAATTTAGGAACGAGCCTGGTAAGCTATAGGGCACGTCTCATTTAAACCGAACCACGTAAATTCAAAAACCTCGGCAATTCAGATGAATCTATGCTTCCAAATTGATTATATGCTTCGAGAATACCGTAGTTAAGAGTGCCAAGCCTCCCTATTTAGGCCTAGTCCCATTTTAAAGTAGTTCTTCGGGTCTACCGCCCACGCGACCACGTTATTTCTATCGATTCTATTGGCTCAGCCCTCTCTATCCCGCCTTTTCAGGTGGAAATCTGCCGGACTAAAACACCCATTACATAATGCAAAATCAGACCTTACATAACAACCCCACCGGGGCAAAGCTCGGACCCCTCACTGTAATTTCGAGAACCCTAAGGTTTTGATGACGTGTGCTAATTAATCTACGCGAGGGATTCGAACAGCGGCTCTCGCGATCCGCATTTCACATGCCAGACGCCGTTTCAAGGTTTGTTTGCTCGCTTAGCGATAGCAGTTCGCGATACGGAGAGGTCGACGGTTTGAGTTGTTTGCCAAGGTGGGGCTGCCTTCATCTCATCTCTTCGGATATCCCCCACGTCTCTCCTCTCATTTGCTCCCATCTCCAGTACATACTTCGACTTAAGTACTTTGCTGTTCCAAGGATCTGGCTTGTAACAACCGGGAGATCTTTGGCGACATAGCTTCGGTGGGATAGGTTCTGTGCGATACCCTCATTCGGTAGGATCTCCTCGCTAGGATCTCTTCGGGGGATGTCTTCGGTGAGATACATTGATTCTACGGCGGCATTCTTCTGTGTGGTTTCTTCGGCGGGATTCCCTAGGAAGTATATCTTCGGTGGGATATCTTCGGCAGCCGAGGCGCTGTTATGAAAATATTTGCTGGAGTAGCCGGAGATTCTTATGACGAGTTAACTAATTTGGGCATCGATAATATAGGCTCGAAAGAGTGCTCATGTTCATTGAAAATATTAAACTGGACATCAGTGAAGGGGATACAAAGTGAAGTACTTAAGCATCTCTGTCTGAACATATAACCCCGATGCTGCCTAATATTCGAATTGGTGACCAATTCCTAGGTTGCTGCAACTGGGTATAGACCTATGAGCGCCTGATCTGGAACGTGAAGGATGGATCGTTACAGCATGTATCACCCACACGGCGAAGGGATACACTAGCAAAATCGGCAGATACGATCTCTGTAGAGGGCTAAAGCAGGACTGCGACAATGCCAATATCAGAGTTGACTTAGTCCCGTGGTTACTGGCCTCTTCTACAAGTGCTAGAAGGTTAGCGACAATACCAACAAATACTAGTTCACTATCAGTGCTGGAGACGAGACCTAAATCGACAAACTTTGTGATCCTGATACTCCTTTCCCATTGTATATAATCATCACCGTGATAAGTGGTTCGTTGATGAGCCTTTCGATTGTACTCGACAAACCAATCCGACAGACTTCTTCGAATTACACCCGAGAACTAAATGCCTTGTTCAGATAATTATGCGGAGAGGGACAATAGCGAGAATAGACTAATAAATTTCGCTAGACAAGAACTCCTTGGTCACTTAAGTTGGGAGTCTTTTGAGGTCTGGGAATAGCACATGGATCATGGATTGAGTGAGCATAATGATAATCTCTCCTTGCTTGTGTTTCTAGAAATAGACCTGGGTGCTCTACATCAACTGTGAGAACCGGATTCTACCTAAGACTCGCACTCTTCAATGCCAACCCTGTCGCCGTGTTGCTTTTTGAATTCCAAAACCCATCGCCAAAGTCGTCGGTCAGTTATAAATATCTGCCCTGTATCTCGAAGGCCAGCACATTTCAACGGGTCGTAGTTGAATCCCCAGTCTGAAACCATTGTCAAATGACGAGCCAAAGACAGCTCGAATGTCAACGGTTTGGTGAAAAGGTCTGTCTTTGATTTTTGGATATGAACTTCTGAGAAGTCATCGAGTCTGATTCTTTCGTGTAGGTCTCGAAAATGAGGTAGAGTTCTTTGTGAAAAGAAATATGACTCGAGCTTCTGGTTTGATAGGACGACTGATTCCCACATGGTACGGAAAAGTGAAAGATCGTCTGTGGAATCAAATGCCAAGAGCCTTGTGAGACACCAAGCAAATTCGCTGTTTTCGACACACTGAATAGCTTTGGGGACAGATAAGCCCACTGGATTACGCTGCACATTGAGTGCTGCATCTTTGAAGCCATCTATGAAACCAAGGCAGAATCTCTCGTCTAGCTTGTGCCGCGATCGAGGAAATCCGGGTGGTAACAAAAGCAAGGGAAGGGGGACAGTTGTGGCGAACGCCCAATCGATGATGCACGTAATATTGTATTGATCGTCGACGAATATGTTGCTCGTAGAGAGATCTGGGTGGCAGAGTGCAAAGGTGCTCGGAAACGTGACTCCGTGCCAGTTGCCCTTATATTGAGAGATCAAATGTGTGAGCGCATCAGCAGCAATAGTATAGTCAACTCGATTTGCGGCACCTTCGATTTTGTGTCCAATAGTGACGAATTGGCTCCAGAGGTCCCAGGCAGCATGCCACAGATCCGTGTTGGGGTAGTCATTCCGAGAGGGTATCGGTGCAGCAAAGCAATGGTGAACTAACGGCAGCTTTGCAGCGTGTTTTATCAAAGCCGCTATGAGGCTGAGGTAGAACTCATTCTCTTTGGTAAACGGTCCACGAGGAATTCCTCGCAAGGAATGTCTCTTGTGCTGTATATGGCCTCTTGAAAGGCATTGTCCAATAACAAAAGATCCATTTTCTTCAAATAGAGAGCCAATTTGGGGAAACCGGACTTGAGCAAGTTTCCATGTAATGTGACCCAATTGAGACATCACTTTGTTAATTTCGATTGAATCCAGACGATTATGAAGATCATTTCCTCCCCACATTGTTTCCAACGTCTTGCCCTCCGCCTTGCTCATCAGAATGTATGGGATCCGGAGAGGGTTGTCTGGATAGGCACTTCCGAAGATCAGCTCCATGATATGGATTTATCTTGCAGCTCGCTTACCAATAGGAGTAAACATCAGGAACAGGGATATCTGTGTATATTTTGAGATATTTGAGCGTAGCAGCTTCGCTAGAAAGAAGTTTGGCGGCACTCGCGTGAGACAACTCGGGGTGATTCTGCACCGGCGAGCGAAGAACCCATTCGACGCCATCTTCAAACAAAACGAAAACAGCCCAGTTGAAGCCGCCTCGTCGCGGACGTTGATTCAAGTCGCATGTGCACGCGATTTCCCGTCGTATCTTACTCGCGAGGTGACATAGAGCGGCTACGTCGAACTCACTGTACTCAAAGAGCGGAGTTTCTTCTTTCTCCATGTTGTGAGCCAAAATGTTTGGGGCAGGGAGTTGCTCTGCTTAAGACAACTTGGTAAATCCCTGAGCAGTGAAAAAAGTGACATAATGAGGCAAGTATCAGATCCCAAGGGTGATAGCGAAGAAAGAACCCAGGGCGTCGTTCCCAAGGAAGGAACATCACATCTACACACGTGACCAGTACCAGTTTGGACTATGAGATATCGAAGTTGAATTCTCCGTCATGCCGTATGTTTACTTGGGGTATGAATAGTGAAAATATAGAAGTTTGGTTGTTAAGGTAGTCGGCTGCGGATGGAAGCAGCGGCATTGTCTGATCCTCCACTCGTTGAGTTAGGTGACATTGGCTTATGCGCCTTCGCGGACGAGGGGCCCTCCTTGGCCCAGTCTAGAAGATCTCTGCATCCCACGATCCTAGTGTTTTGTTCATCGTCGCCCCCGGGAACGCTGACCGACGATACATTCTAGTTCAAACGGCCAGTCGTCTGTTCTGCCATCTTGTTGGTCATTGGCCTAGTACCTCTGGGGATGGGGATTTTGCTTCTAAGTTCCAGGTATTGAGGTCAATTGAGCTGGCTGGCTCTGGAAAATCGGTGAGAGCTTAAGGGTTTCAACAAGGTGAGGGTACTTCGATTCGTCAATCCAGCGAGAGTAGGTGGCTGGGTCGAGAGTGCCTAAAGCGGAGTTTCCAGCGACTTGTCGAAACAGGATGGGGGATAGTCCGTTTTGCGTTAGCGAGTCTGATATTCTTCTGGGACGAGGTGCGTGGAAGATCTCGATCACACATGGTGGGGGGGTGGAGCCATTTTTATAGGCGAGGTTTCTTGGCTTGGTGATCCTCAAGCAAAAGAGGGGAGGGCTGGAAGTTCGGATGCCAGCTCAGAGGGTTTCGAGGTGTTCTGTATTCCTGAGTGCTAAAACCGCGCTCATAACTTGTTGAAAGAGCTTCTTGGGAATGTTTTCGCAATTGTGATTTTTCTCTGATCACATGATATCCGCGTGATTATTTTGGCATGAGAATGTGTCAAAAAATTACTAGGCCTTACGGTCAACAGCATTGCAACCCCTACAATTTACTCTTGACAAGGCCATTACATCCCATACAAGCCTAACAATATCCTTACTAGTATGGTGACCCCAGTAGTAACCGGACGTTTCCTTGTTCTCCACGGAATATTTCTCATTGGAAAAACATGCGACCTGGTCTACAGAATGCGAACTGTTTAAGGAGTAATTCATAAGATATCAAGCTAGTTTGAAAAAGAGACATTTGAAATTCAATCTTCATATCCAACAAAATAAGATAAATAAAACAGAAAAGGTTGTATAGTATAAGGAATAAAAAAACAAATCAATACCTCGCCAGATATATTTCAATGAAGTGTGCATAGGAAAATATTCATTCTTGGCTGGTTCTGCCTTCAGCCATGTCAAGACCCCACTCAACCTTGAGGTCTGAAGTAAGTATACCCGATTTCTTGAGAATCGTCTCGGCAAGAGCCGGGACAGATTCACTGGTCAAAATCTCAAGGATCTGCAAATTAGCTTCCAACTCGCGGGTGATCCAATTTCGGATCTCGATAGCGACCAGCGAATCCAAGCCATAAACCGTGATAGGCGCAGCAGGGTCAAGGTCTTCCATCGGACGCATAAGAATGCTAGAGATTTTGTTGAGCACGGCAGCCCCAACAATGGCCTCGGCTCCTTCGCGGGTCTTCGATTGCCGGATCACAACTGCCGGTGAAATCTCGGCACCGCTCTGTGCAGACTCGACCAATGCACCCGCGCCAGCGAGAGTGGAGAGGCGCAATAGGTGCGACAGCTTGGTATCGTTTACCCAGAAGGGCTGTTCACTGGCGGGTGTGGATTTGACTGCTTCAAACCCAGCCACGCAGTGACCCTCGCATGAAATGTCGAACTCGTTGCGGATTGCTGCCGTTACGAGACCACGGATATCAGATGCATCAACGGACTCTGTGCCTAATTGTTTGGAGATTGCCTCGCGCTTCTGATCGTCGGAGAGATATCCGACTCCACGGACAATGGGCAAATCGATTGTGGAACAGCGCATCTTGGCTGTCTCAGGGTACTGGGCGAGCGCAGCCATGAAGGTTCCACTGGCTGCGTATGGTGATTGACCCATATTGCCAACAAAACTAGCAGCGGACGATAGGTTGATGAAGAAATCCACGGTACCATTAGTTGTTGTCAATGCCCGTTGAACGTTCCAGATTCCGTGGACTCTGGGCATCATCACCGTCTGGTAGTCCGCGAAACTGAGCTTTTCGAAGAGCGTATCCTAACGGGAGAGTTAGCGGATATCTTATCTGTTGTTTGATGCTGATAAGCTTACCCGGAGAACCATAGCGCCGTATACAACACCACGAGCGGGAGGCATGCGAGCGAGGAGCGGAACAAGATCTTGCTCCACGCTCTGATGGTCCGCCACATCGCAGCGACAGACTTCCACATTAACACCCTGGCGGATAAGATTCTGAACAGTTTGCTCGGCCTTTTCAGTCTTAATACCACTTCGAGAAACCAGGATAAGATTCTTGGCTCCCCTCTCTGGCAGCCAGCTGGCAATGTCGAGGCCAATCCCACCGGTCCCACCAACGATGATATATGAAGCGTCCGCGCGGAGAAGATTTTCGTCTCTTCTAGCGGGATAGACCTGTGTGGTGAGTTAGCGATCATCTGCTCCAATTGTCGTAGATATCAGCAAACATACCTTAACCATGGAGTCATCCGTGACCTGGACGACTATCTTGCCGATCACCTGTCCACCCTGCAGCGCACGGAATCCAATCTCGACGTCTGAGATAGGAAGAGTAGTGATAGACCACTTTGATTGGGCGTTGGTGTCAACAAACAGCTTGAACGCATCACGCAGCAGCCGCTTCGTCAATTGCGGACGCTTCTCTCTGACCATTCCCAGATCGACAGATGCGAAGGAGATGTTCTTGTTAAAGTGAGACATCTCCAATCGAGAGTTTGTCGTGATGTCCCGCTTGCCCAGTTCAATGAAACGACCAAATGGCGCGACACACTCAAATGTTGCTTGCAAAGCGTCACCGCTAAGCGAGTTGAGAGCAACATCCACACCCTGACCACCAGTGGCGTGTTGAATACCCTGCGCAAATGACATGTCACGACTGAAGAAGATATGATCCTCTTTGAGCTGGTAAGTTTCCATAAGGAAGTTTTTCTTTTCGAGGCTGCCAACGGTTGCGAAGATATTAGCTCCAACGCTTTGAGCAATGATTATTGCCGCTTGGCCAACTCCTCCTGCAGCGGCGTGGATCAGGACGCTCTCATCTTTGCTCAGTCTCCCCAAGTCAATGAGAGAATAGAAGGCAGTACAAAACACAGCTGGAATCGAAGCTGCGGTCTCGAATGACATGTCGTCAGGAATAAGCAAGGATCCAGAGGCCGGACAGCGAGTGAAAGTTGACAATGAACCTGGTGACATTGCACAGACTCGATCTCCGATTTTGAAGTCGGACACCGCGGCTCCCACTTGAGTCACGACTCCACTACATTCCTGTCCGAGTCTTTCACCTTGAAGCTGGCCCATGGCCATCAAGACATCTCTGAAGTTGAGACCGGTGCTGTGAACCTGGATCTCAATGTGGTCTTCCGGCAGTGCTCCGTTGCGGGAAACATCGTCTGTGAAGTAAAGCTCATCAAGACCCCTCCCGTCTCCGGCAGCAAGTCGCAAAGCCCGATCTTGTTTGAAAGGCTGCATCTGGGGAGGGGCATTTGGTGTCTCTTGCTGGACACTAAGGTTCAATGTGTTGTTGTCAACCAAGCGGGGCACACAAACATTGTCATTTCGGACAACAAACTCCCAGTCATTCTGGGCCAGCTGCGATTTCCGACAAAAGACTCCGTTAAATACCTTGAGCATATGGTTCACTGCCTCAGCGTCGGGCATGTTCTCCCGCTCTCCCAGGTCAAGCGTGGCGAATTGGAGCCCAGTCTCTGATCTCACAGTGCGAGCCAATCCAATTGCCATGTTCGCACCAAGCGATTCCAAATCAGATTTGCTATGACGAACAACCCACAGTAGACCCCGAGCCCGGCTCAGAAGACGCTGCAATGCGTTGAATTTTTCTTGGGTGAGATGCGATAGGATCGAGCGATCCATTCCCCCAAGGAAAATACACCATTTTCCGGTAACATCAACCTCATCAGAGTTAACAGCCGTGATGGGGTCAATCCCAGTCATCTCCTTGAGACCAGATTCGAGACTGAGCGACGAAAAAGTGCCGATCGAGTCAACGCCAAGAATCACAACATCACCGGCGTTTGCGGGACCGGTTATTGGGATATTAGCAGTGGATGTCATGAGACAACCAGATTGGAAAGATGCTCCAGGGTACTCCTCGACACACAGGTCAACCCCGGAGAAGTCATTCTCCTTCATCACATTGCTCCATCCTTCGACGGTGAGGAGCGGTCCGTCCGTGCGGAATTTGTCATTGGCCAGCCACCATCCAGGGAGGAGTGCGAATGGGAAGTGGCGTGCCCTAGGGACAGTTTCCTCAATGAGTATAACCTTGCCACCGGGCTTCAGAAGTCCTCGGATGTTTGCCATCGCCTGACTGATGTCGGTAGTAGCATGCAGCACATTGCAAGCAACTACAACATCATATGTGCCATTGGTGAAGCCTTGGCCAGTGGGATCAGCCGACACATCTAGTGTCTGGTATGTCATGAGATGTCCCCAGCTCTCGAACTTTGTCTTGGCTTTTTCAAAGAAGCCGGGAGAGATGTCGGTATAAGTGTAGTGCCCGAACCGAGGCGTCGACCCTGCTTCGCCGCCGCCCAGACTCTGCAAAATAGGCATGGTGGCGCCGCCTGTTCCAGCACCAATCTCAATGATGTTGAGTGTTGGGTTTTGATGTGCCATCTTGTCAACGCAGACAGAGGCATTGGCATACGCCTCACGAAGAGCATCAAGGTCACTGTAGTATCTTCCGATTCCATCATCCTCCAGAAGTACATTCAAGGCGTCTACCTCGCCCCTGAGGATTTTTGGAAGCAACTCTCCCACTTTGAACGCCAGCTCACTTGCTCCATTAACGGTTCGGCTTTGTTCAAGGACGTCAAGTGACAAGCCATCTTTGGTGCCCGCATTTTGGCAAGTTTTCTGGGCCCAACGATAGAATTGCCGATGATGGGGCTCGAAGGTGGACAAATCATCTTCTGTCACAGACTTGACCATCTGTGAAAGGTAGTACTCTGCCACAGATTCGAGTTGCTGCATTCGCTCAATGCCTTGGGACACATCAGTCTCGGGGCGAGGGAGCTGTCGATAATCTTCGGCGGAGAGGAAATCAAAGCAGGGCTCATATTGCATCTTGTAGCAAATCTGATCCGGCGAATTGTCCGTTGAGCCTTTGATATCATTCGATATCGGAACCAAAGTAATACCATTGATGTCAATGAGCAGATTCGCCGGGTTGCTGGGAACAGTGGCGAATATGCGGTTTGTCTCAGGGTTGCTCGCGGACTCGTTTCCTGACTCGCTACCATAGAGTTGGAGTACAGTACCAGCACTTATTTCGTGGGACAATGAAACGGAGATGTGCTTGACATGCGATGGCACATGGGTGGTTTGCGGCCCGGGTTCGCCGTAACCACGAAGCAGCCACATGACTTGACTGCATAGATCAAGTGTAACAGGATGCAGAATGCAGGGGGTCTCATACTCATGTGGCATCGCTGCCTTCGTGTCTGGAATGCGTAAGGTAGCCAGTGCTTGGCCATCCCTGCTCACAGAGGCATCGGTTAGTCCTTGGAAGAGAGGACCGTAATTGACACCACCGTTGGCGATATTCTCGTAGAGGAAATCGATATGCACAGGAATATTACAAGAACTTCGCATATTCAATGCTTGTTGAGTGAAGCGTGCTGTCTTCTCGAGCTCCTGTCGAGACCCGTCGACAGGATTAACATCCTTCGCTTCTTGCACCATGATGAAACCATTGCAGTGTTGGTCCCATCCGCGACCCTCGGCCCATGAGAAAACCTTGAACTCGTGCCAGCCGAGGACTGATTTGCTGGGGGCTTCCGATCGGGATGGTTTCAAGGTGAGAATTGTCTCCACCGATGAGTTATCCGGGATAGTGAGGACACGGTTAATGAAGATATCGCGGATATCGATCTTTCCGGGAGTGACATGGTGCAGCTGTGCATGTTGTGAAATAGCCTCCATGGCCATGGCCAAGAATCCGGTCATTGGATACACAGTGCGGTCATGGACTCTGTGCTCGCGGATCCAAGGGTGATCATCTGCACGAATGATGTTCCTCCACCTAGGTTCAAAGTCGACATTCTCCATGCACAATGAGCCGAGGATATCACTTCGAGGGAATTGGGGATGGAAATGGTTATCACCTATCCGTGAGCTAAACCAGTATCTTTCCGAGTGGTTCCATGGATATTTGGGCAGATTTGTCAACAAAGCTGGCTTTCTCGTCGTTGTTTTCAAGTTCGGGAAGTTGATAGCTTGGAAGTCGAGATTCAGACCCTGCGTGAACAGCGAGCCAGCTAGGTTTTGGACAGCCTCGATGTCATCCACCTTGCGTTTCAAGGTATGAAGATAATGGACGTTGGAATTTGGGGCGTATTTCTGCGCAATGTCTTTGACGGGTGTCTGCAGCGCAGGATGAGGGCCAATTTCGACTAATGTGGTGATTGGCGTATTTGCCTGCTCATCGGTGATAAGGCTCTTCAGACCCTCCACAAACTCCACACGGGAGACCAGATTGTCCACCCAGTAGGAGGCATCCAAGGTGCTTCCTGGGACCAATTTCCCATAAACAGTCGAATGGAATGAAACCTTAGAGTCCCGAGGCGCAATCTTACCGAGTAGGCATCTATATTCGTGCGAGACAATCTTCATATGATGAGAGTGGTAAGCAACCTCGACCTGCAATCTCCGGGTGAAGATCCCTTCTTTGTCCAAGGCAGTCTGCAGATCGTCGATGACCTCCGCGTCTCCAGACAAAGTCACGCTGGACTCACTGTTCACACAGGCAATGACAGCCTGGTTCCCTCGCATAGCATCCAAGATTTGCTGGATGTCTGAGGCGCTGGCTCCAACCGCTAACATTCCTCCCTTGATAGACTTGTCATTTGCAACCAAGTTTGCCGCGACACCACGAGAGTACGCCACACGAACACATTCTTCGAGATTCAGAATGCCAGCCGCGTAAGCTGCTGCAATCTCTCCGCTAGAATGGCCGACCACTGCCTTGGGGCGAATACCCCAGGATGAGAGCAGGTCAACCAACGCTAGCTGGACCGCAGTACAAGCCGGCTGGCTCATGTATGCGGCAGAAATAGAGCTCGCGCTGGGGTCAGTCAAAAGCAATTCATCTTTGCATTGGGAGGTTAGTGTCCGAGTATATCGCTTGGGGCAGTGTCACAATTGGGTTGGAGACATACCTATAATTGAGAACGTAGCACCGAATGATTTCAAGCAAGCGTCAACATCCTGCATAGTCTTCTTGAAAACCGGGTAGGTGCCCAGAAGTTCTTTGCCCATACCGTGCCATTGCGCACCTTGTCCAGTGAAGACAAAGCCGACAGTAGGCTCTTTGGAAGAACGAACAGGCACTGCGTCGTTAGATAGAGATGCATTCAGCTCCTGTCCAAGGATTGCAGAGCATGCCAACCTCCATGGCAGGAATGTTCGTCGCTGTCCCAGTGTATAGGCCATATTATCCAAAGTGCTATCTTTGAAAACAACCGGGAAAAGGTCGAGGTATGCTCCGATTGATTTCCCAAGCTGAAGAGCAGCCTGTTTATCGTACGCAGAGACAACATACAACTTTCGCTTGAGAGGATCGTTGTTCGCCGCAAGGTCGCCTTCGTGCCGGGGACCACGCTGTAGGATAACATGGGCATTGGTCCCGCCGAAGCCGAAGTTGTTCACACTTGCGTATGGTTTGCCACGGGGCCAAGGCATGAGCTTCTTGGGAACCTGGTTGGGTGTTTAGCTCGGTTCGTTGATACCTCAAGTCGGTGCTTGATCTTACCTTCATATTCCAGTCTTCCATCGGTATCTCATCATTTGCCTTCTCGAAATTGCAGTTTGGGGGTACGAAGCCTCGCTCAAGTGCCAGGGTGGTTTTGATCACAGAAACAACGCCGCTGGTTCCTTCTGTATGACCAATGTTCGATTTTACAGACCCAACAAGCAACGGTTGACGCGGAGTGCGTCCTTTGCCAAAAACGGCATTCAATGCAGTGGCTTCGAGGGGATCACCAACTTTGGTTCCCGTACCGTGAGCCTCCACAAATCCTGTCAAGGACGGGTCAATGCGTGCCTCTTTATAGACTTGACGAATCAGTGCTTCCTGTGCCTTGCCATTTGGCATTGCAATACCTCTGGTCCGTCCATCCTGGTTGAGACCACTGTTGATAATTACAGATCGGATAGCATCTCCAGCAGCCTCCGCATCCTCAAGAGACTTCAATATAATACATCCAGCACCTTCACCTCGGCCAAAGCCAGTACCGCGGTGATCAAATGCATATGAGCGACCAGTGTCGGAAAGTAGTCTTGGGGAGCAATCAGCTTTTGTGGGTCAAGGAGACTGCCAGTTACACTTACCTAGAACGTGTCATTGAGATGAAAGCCTCGGGGGTTATATTGAGGTGACATCCTCCCACAATGGCCATGGAACATTCACCGTTCCGGATACTCTGAGAAGCCAGATGCAGAGCAGATAAGCTGGAAGAGCAAGCTGTGTCGACCGTAACACTAGGCCCGTTCAAGTCAAAATAATACGAAATCCGATTCGCCTGCAATGCCATGGCTGTTCCAGTGGCAGCATACATGGGGATAGCTGTGATATCTCTAGTGTTGTTGATTTCGTAGTCTGGGTATGAGGCGCCTGCGAAGACTCCCACTTTTTGGCCACTGATCTCGTGACTCGGAATTCCAGCGTTCTCGAGCGCTTCATACACACATTCGAGGAAAATACGCTGTTGCGGATCCATTGATCTCGCCTCTTGGAGTGTAATGTTGAAAAACGGCGCATCGAATAGGCCAACGTCTTCTTTCAGGAAGTGAGCTCCTACTGGGTTGAAGGAACCTGGTCGATCTGGATCAGGGTGATAGAAGGACTCGGCGTTGAATCGGTTTCTCGGGATTGGCGACCAAGCACTCCGTCCTCGAGAACACAGGTCCCAGAACTCTTCGGCCGTGGAAACGTCGCCTGGGAGGCGGCAGGACATGCCGATGATGGCCATTCGCTTGGGCACATCGCCTGTGGCATTATCGGGGATCTCACTAGGTGCTTCGTGCAAAAATGCATTCGCGCTCTCGGTAAATGGAGTTCCAGTACCGGAGGGCTCTTGAAGGCGCATCTTTGATAGATTCGGTGTCTGGTTTGAAGATGTCGAATTATGTACCTGGCTGTGTAATCACCAATGTCCAGCAAGTGTCCAAAGAGACAAATATCGATTTGCAAGAAAAGATATGTATAGAATAGTACAATCACACAGCGTTCGAAACAGGCACTCGGTTCATCCAAGTACTTCCTGAAAGGCAGAGAGTAAACAACAAGGGCGTCGAGATGGTTTGTACAACATAGAGTGCGAACCGCCCTTGCATAAACACCCAAGCGTGCGCGTGCCGATCTCTGTCCAGTAGTTTCCCGATTGAAACAGGGGATTCAACATTGAATCGGGCAATGATAGGTCGAGAGAAGGCTTATGTCTGTCTTCCTTGATGACGAATCTAACAACTCGCAGGGACGTCAATGGGATCATCCATGCATGAAAGTATCCCCTCGATTCCTCATTAGCGGTTTCCAGGATTGTAGATCGAGATCAGTACATCTGACCTCGTCCATGTATTTGCAATGGTCTGGATAGTGTTTTCTCCGATGCCCTTGCTAAGGCGAGGGTGCGTTCTCCGTACATTCCAAACACAGGGGCAAACCCCCGGGACCCTGGCAGATTCCTGATGGCATAATTTGTTATTGGTGCCTCCTCGCGTAGCAAGTATCTTTATAGAACCCTCCGGGTGGTATTCTACCTCGCCTTTTTCTCCGAAGATATTCCCCAGTTGATTTTCGCGATGAAGTTTCTATGTCTCCCAGGTGGCTATTGCAGTGCCAAGGTATGTCAAGCATTTTGTCACGTGGAATAAAATCATCTGACGCCGACTATACAGGCTCTCAAAACACAGCTAGGTAAGAAGCTGCATTTGATGCGATGGACGTCGGAGAGAACTAATAGTGGGTACAGGTCCGTTCTGCGATGCCCTCGCGGCCAATGGAAATGCCAGCTTCCACTACACGCAGGGAACCACCGAGGTGCATGTTCCCCCAGAATTAGCCGGGTTTTTCGGTCCGCCGCCCAACTATACCTTCATTAAGGTTGATGGGCCTGCACTGGTCCATACGAACATGAGTGACTTCCCGAAACGCGACACCCCGGAAGAGGCAATGAAAGCCGCCACAAAGGCGGCTGGCGATCCCACATTCTCATGTATCGCTGAGGTCATGGACCGTCTGGTCGGCATTCTTGACAATGAAGGCGACATTGATGGTGTGATTGGCTTCTCTGAGGGCGCCCAAATTGCCGCATCGCTTATTCTAGAGGAGCAAAGAAGAGAGAGGGAACTTGGTCGGATACCTCGACTTAAATGTGCGATTATGTTCAGCGGATGGCCACCGGTGCACCCCGTGACTGGAAAAGTTCTCACGGCTGACGACTATAATGAAGAACCAATCACTATTCCGACTTGCCATGTTATCGGTGCATCGGATCCGTTCCTTGATGGGTCAATGGCTCTGTACAATATGTGCGATCCAGATACTGCGGACCTGTTTGATCATGGGGCTGGACATTTAATTCCAAGAAAGAAGCAGACTGCCGATGAGATTGCTTTAGTTGTACGCGAGATGATCAACTGTTTGGCTTGAGTTGTCCTTTATATAGCAACACACCAGAAACAACGTCCGATGGGCTAGATTTACGCGCTATCCCGGACATTGGGTGCATTTCATGTTCTCATAAATATAAAATTCTCGCACTAGTCTACTCCAGCAGCGGCCTTGTCTCTGCTTCTTCCCCCTCCTCATATTCAATCTGACCCTCTGTTCGTCACCATTGAGGAAAGAGACCAACAAAGGACGCAAGTCCCAGATCCCAAACTCACCCCCTAGTGACCTCCGCCCTTCCTCGTCAGCCTGTCCATACTTCGCCGCCTTCCAACGCCATCGGGTCCGGCGCACAAGCCACAATTATCCAACCCCTAGAACGCCCAACGCCAACATCACGAGCACAGCAACCATTACTGACAGAACAGTCAAGGTACTCGCATGGCACCCAAATGGTAGAATTCTCAGCTCCCATATCTCCTTAGAGCCAAGGGGGCAGATGCTTTCTGAGCCGACAGGCGCAAGTATCGGACCCGTGATAGGTTAGGAACACAGGTCGAGGACTATACCACAACAATCAATAGTCAGCAGAATATGATATGTCTGATAAATCAAAGCAAAAGCAATCATGAGATCCGTGGTAGGTGAGGTGTGGCCTTGAAACCCCCATTCTGGGGGCTGGGGACGCAAGGGAGCAGGATGTGAAACGAATACGAGGGGAAGGTTCGCATATCGAATGCAAATTACCGGGAAGGGAGAGGAGGGGAGAATCAGACTCGACTACGAGAAAAAGCTGGTCATAAAAGAATGCGACCTACTATACAATATGGTAAAGCGGATCTCTGGAATCAGGGTTGTCCAAGGGGAAGCTAGAGTTTTCCAGGCCATTCATCACTGTTTACTTGGTTAAATACCATGTAAGGTGGTCGTGGTATAGCTGGTTCCTGTCCTCAATAGTGAGATTTCCTCCCTTGCAGACAGAGCACTTTGCCTCTGCTGAGTTGCGGGTGAGTGTATAGTGAAATAAAAGATTTGCGAGAAATCCCATGTGTTTTGTATAGAGCTTATATTTTGCAACCCAACATGAGACATTATCAATTGGATCGAAAAGTGCGCAGTCTGCATTTTTTGGCTGCGGTACTTTTGCCACTGTATCCTCTAGACATCTACAACGCACGCACACAAGTCCCACATGAAGGGGTCATCTGAGTCACTGTGGTGGTACAGAGTTATATTATATAGACTTGATGATCGCATGATACCGTGGCGTGAAAACGTGATAAATTTATCCTGGTGAATCGCGCTGAAAACGAACTGGCCCAGAAATACCAAAAGCCACAATTGTCGCTCATCGATGCGTAACAGAAGGGAAAAGGAGATGTTTTGGATCGAGGAAAGACGGTAAATTTAGTTCAGACCACACGCTTGACCTAAATATGGAGTATTAGTATATCATCTTCCGGTGTCTCGATCAAAGGAACCCACGTACCTCGAAGAATCTCTTCAGCCACCACACCTGGAACACACCCTCGCCAATAACCACCATAAGCTGGAACATGCTCCACCACTTCACGCGGCCGTTCGTGCTCTCTGCGGTATTGCGGTGTACTCGCTCGCGCACGACAATGTACGACTGCTCATCCTTTACCTGTGTCAAAGCCTCAGAAAGTTTGCGAACTAGATAGTACGACATGATCAGTCACAATATTCTTCGTCTTCCGTCGGCTGTTATTTCCCACGCTTACCTTCGACCTCGAGGGGATCCTGCGTCATCTCGTGTTCGGGCACGTAGACAATTCCGTGGACGTTGAAGGAGACCTCCTTGGAGTTGGAGGTCCAGCCCTCGTTGCTGAAGCAGTAGTTGTATTTCCCGTCCAGCTGTGCGGTGAAGGAGTAGTCGTCGGAGGCAACAGCTTGCTTGAAGTACTGACGGTTTCTCAGGGGATCCTCGACCTGCCACGACCGAGCGTTAGCATCTAGCTTATTTTGAATCGGTCCTCCATCATGATGTAGCAGGTGGCCTAGTCCGTAGGTAGGCATAGACCTCTCGGTTTATAGATCCGATATCCCATGCCAGAGCCACCATCAAGCAGAAGTGGACTCCCGAGCAACACCGGGATAGTTCATACCCAGAAATCAACCTCAATGTTATTGCTCCCTCCAAACTCCCGATCTCCAACCTGGAAAGTGACAGTCATGACATCGTCGCGGTGCAGTGACTCGTGGAAGCATTCTCGTGAGTGAGACTTGAGCTGGATGGTGTGTGCGGTCGCGGCGGTGATCCACCCCAGCGCGGTGACCAGGATTGCGCTTGTTGAAAATCTCATATTGGAATATTTCGGCTCCGATGAGTCTGGGGTGATTGACGAGTGCGTGGGTGGTGATGTTGGTGTTGGCCGTCAACGTCAACGCGCAAGGTGTCAATTGGCGGCGCTCGGACCACTTCAGTAAACACCGCTCCGCCTTGAAATTCAGTCTTGGCTGTATACTGGAGTTGGGTGGATTTAGATTGTGATATGAATAATTATGTTATGGTTAGATTCAATGAGTCTCTCATAGGATTGGCATCTATTCGAATGAGAAGCTAACACTTGTAAAGTTATACCGCAACATATATATCGTTGCATTGTACGTCAACTACAAACAGCGAAAGTCTTTGTAGTTATGTACAAGCGAACTGAACACTTGCATGAGAAGAGTAACGTAGCAGTGGTAAAGAGTCTGAATTCATTTTGAAATAGTAAACACTCGAACAGTGATAAGCTACAAGAAACGCAACGGGAAAGCATGTATATCAACAAGCTACATCCGACAATATCACAACAAGGGGGTGTACATGATAATATAGAACAGTCAGAAAATAATGAATGACAGAGATTGACTATTAATATGTATAGAAGGCATGTAAACGATAGGACATGAAAAAGAAATGTAAGTAGGATATTCAATGTACAAGTTCTTTGGGGAGATGAGAGGTAAGAGGCAAGCGGAATAACGGGGTGGTATCAAATCCGAAAACGCAAACATTGATCAACGGCCATGAAGCCGGAAGATATGTATGTATGTCGAAAGGGGGAATATGGATATAACGAGAGGAGAGAAACCCGACCAAACGCAGAGATAGCAAAGATATCACAGATTGAGGATTCGTCCTGTGGGCATTTTTCTGCCGATAGAAAATCCAAAAAAAACCAAATAAAACACCGAGCGGAGATGGAGTTCAGAAAAATCTATAGGTAAGGATCAAGGGCAGCAGAATCACTCTTCCTCAGTGGAGGGTTCATCAGAAGAGGAAACGTCAGCGTCGGCGTCAGCTTCGGTTTGAATGATGTAGCTTTCTTCGGCTTCAGCCTCATCAATCGTAGGCCCAAAAGGACTCTCATTATCCCTCTCCCTTGGCGAAGCCGAGACCATCCCATCAACGGTACTCTCGTTCTCATCCGCGAAGCTCCCATCCTCGTAGTTCGCCGGCTCGGC